GGGGTGGAGTCATAGGTCCCCACCAATGTCCAGAGCAAATCTACGCCCTTGCCTGACACACCTACAGAGACATTTAACTCGAGGTACCTGTTCTGAGGTAGATTGGGCTGCTCAACATGAAAGCTGTCATTCATAATAATCTCATGTGCCAGGCTCAAATTGACGAGGTCCCGGGCAGAAGCCATGACTCCGTCGAGGGTCGTGACTTTGGGAGGGCTAGCTGGAAACAAACGTGGCAGCAAATGGGAATGAAGCGAAAAAATTAACTGAAAACCAATACAAGCAACCACACTATCTGGTGTTGAAACAGGCACTTGCAACCATTAACATAAGAACTAACAATTTAAAAAAAAAAGATCAATATTTTTATTGTACAAGCCATGAATTCCATATCTAAATACTAATCAGCACTAGCACTAAGCAGGTTAAAAGATACACATATATACAGGGGAAAAAATATTTGGTAACACTTTACTTAAAACAGCCATCATAATGCATTATACATATCTTCATAATGCTTTCTAATAGTCAGTATAAGCCATCATAATGCATTATATGAAGGTATTTATAGGGCATACGTGACAGTGGGAGTGCATTCATAATGCATAATAAAAATGGCTACGTATTATGCCTTTTTATAAATAGTTATAGCTATAGTTTATAATACTTAATGAATGCATTATAATGTATTGAGGGTATCTATAATGCATTATACCTGAGTGCTTTAAAGTGTTACCAAAATTTTTTGAAAAATTTTCATTTGACAGGAAGAGGAAGCTGGCAATGTGATGTTATCTTAAAGCCGTAACTGACCTTTTTAGGGAACAGTGACACGTAGCGTGAGAGATACTGACCAAAACACGTCCTCTTCAGAGGACAAAAATCAAATGGTGGCTCTCAGTAGGATATTATATATAATAAACTTACAGGAAGGTGAGCTGTGATTGCTGGAGTCCCCACTGTTGAAGCTTTGACGGGAGCACTCAAAGTCACTCGACGACGTCACACTGTCACACCTGTCCGAACATTCCGTGTCACTGCTCTGGTCTTCACTCACTGTTGTGGATGTGGATGCGGGACGTTCATCGTTGAGTGGCATGGTAAGCAATGACCTGAAAAACCAGAAGACTGCAGTAGCTGCACCCAGATTGCTGTCTGGCAACATTAATGTGAAATTATCAGTTTTCTGGTCTGGATCTTTTAAATTGTACATTCGTATGCCCTGATCCAAAAAATTAGTAATTTTGGAAGGCTCTAAAAGGATTTTAATTCATTTTTTTTAGATGCATTCATCTGGATTTTATTCTGACAGCATCAAAATCCATCCAAGTAACAAAACAATTACTCTGACTACTGAAGAGTGGAAACTAGTTTGTGTTGGTTACCGAACTACCCAACTGTTGCTAGGAGGGGAGTACAACAGAATGGGCTTTACAGCTCATAAAGCCGTGACCATGGCAACAGCTGGAACTTTATACAGTTGGCACAAGAGCAAAGTCGGTTAGAGCACACTTGAATATCCGATGCAGGAAATTAGGAAAAAATGTTGTAAACAAGAGAGCTAATTCCCACACATGCCAAATAGGGGGTTAAAAAAATCTTGCATATTTATCCTGATATTTAAATATATATATTTTGGATCTTGCTAAAGGCATCTGGCTCAGATGTTAACAAGTAGGTCAGCGAGACACAGTGTCCCAGCTCCATGGAACTGGATCAAATGTACCTCTGGGATAATCACAATAACGGCTGACCTCTCAAACGCCAACATATCCAGTTACACTGGCGGTACTCCGGATTATTAAGCCCAACATCCAACCCTACAACATAGGGGATATGTGAATCCCGTTTTTGGAGACCTAGAGCAATTAATGCATAGCCTTGTAAGGAGGGTTTGTTTATAACTAAAAGAAAACGAATGACAAGTTCTTGAAATATGTCGTCTAATGAGGTAGCTAATGTGTGCCTTAAGGGCATTTGGCAATTTAGCCAATACCAGTTTGACGGTATTAGCCAGGCACCCAGAGCAACTCTGACCCACCCCCCTCCAAAAAGCCTGCTATTTCTTTAAGACGACACACCACCGCAGTGCCCGCTGCCCTGAGATATACGTTGTGCTGCATGATAAACGTACCACCGAAGTGTCTGCTTGTTGGCGCTTTACCAAATGACTGCTTCGACTCTGGTTTCTGACTAAATGGCATTAGCATGGTAGTGTTCTTGTCCTACAGATTAACCACACAATGAAATTAATTAAATCGGCCAAAACGCGATGACATTCAACACGAAAGGCACGCGGTGAATGCATTTGCGTTTCATTATAAAAATGAAACATTTTCTGTTGCAGCAAATCGAAGAATACAAAGGACGTGGAGGTGGAATTTTTAAACACATATCGCAATCATATCTATATCTAAAAAAAAATCGGATGACCAGTTTCAACAAAGCCCTCACACAGCAAGAGAAGCCACAGACTGGAAGACCAACTTGTTCTGGGGGCGAACAATGTCTTTCAGCAGAGGGAAAAAAAACAGATAGTCATAACATTTTTCTCTAAATAGACAAACTGACATCCCTGGCAGCAGGATCGCTGGTACACAAACTGATTAGTCAGCAAACACACAGTTTGGCAGCTCTCTTCGCATTGGCTGAGCCTTAGTATTGCTCAGCCATAGAAGGACAGCACGAGGCTACTGTACACACCGTCTCAGCTGCAGCACCAATAATAATGTTTTATTTATATAGCGCCTTTCTCACACTCAAGGACGCTTTAAAATACAGACAATACAAAATAACTGAATACAGTAAAGCAGTGCACACGCAGCAACAGCAGCAACAACAAAACAACAACAACGAGCGCTTTGACTCGCACCGACACAAAAAAGGCACTGAGCTCACACGCGTCACTGAGCAGTGCACGTGATCGGAGCTCGCGCACCAAAACAAGACAGGTCAAGAGGAGCAGCAACGAAAATCCGAGGCTATACAATGCAGTGGCAAAGGCAACACGTCGTGTCACTGTTAAAATGCAAACGACCGGCCATACCCATTACCGAAGAACAACAATAATCTCTTCAAGGTTTAACATCATACCAAATTAAACCTTTAGAAAAACAAAGCACAGACTCCACGAGCAGTTTAACCTTCGCGTCAAACGACTTCAAACCTCTCAGCTAGTTTTCCTCATATTGGATAAAGGGTTGCATTTATTCGATATACGTTTCAATAAATGATTAATTACTTATTCGACACCAAACTGTTTTATCAAAAATAAGGTGGTAATATTGAGGTATTAAAATCAGAAGTCTGTTAACAAGTAACAACATAACAATCGATATCCCCAAATCAAAACACATTATGTATGCAAAAATGTCCTAAAAATGACATATTCGTAGAAAAACTCCAACTTCCAACTGTGGTAAACAAAACTGGAACGTGAAAAATGTAACTTAGTGTGCGGTTAAATTGTCGATCGCATTTAAACTACACAGAAATGATGTGTATTACCTTCTATTAAGCCCCCCCCAAAGGAGACTTTCTCACAAACAGCTTTGTATTTGTATGGCTAGCGAGTGTAAATACGGTCCGGCTGCTTTCTCCTGTTTTCGGTAGAGGTCTTTTAAATATCCTACGGACCAGCTGGTAGCGAGCATTTGTTACAACTCGACTAGTCCAATTTTCAGGGTGAGGGCACAAGGGTAGCGTCTTTAAGTCGAGATAGCTTCAGTATGGCAATTGGCATAGCAATGATATTTATATATAACTTAGATGTATATATGTCTTGTATAATCAATTTTAAATCATTTGGAGATATTTTGCATACACAGAATTCTTTACCTTTGCAGTATAAACAATGGCACGTACCATTTCGCGTCGTGTTCTTTGTTTACGGATGTGACGTATAGAAAGATCGATTATACTGCAAAAAATGTTATGTTTACCTCAAAGATTTTTATGGTGTTTTACGGGGTATATTAATATGACTTTCTAGCAGTAAAAATTGTGAATAAAAGTCAAAAGAAGTTTGTTAGAAAACTCTTCTTGCTCGGGTCGAAGTCTGTTAAGCTACTCACAAAGTTGTATCCTATATTGAGAACTTATTATTAATAACAATAATATCACAGTTTTAAGTCAACAGAAAATACTTTCTATTAAAGGTATTCATGAATGAAAACTTAACCGACACCCCTCCCCCCCCCCAAAAAAAAACGATAAAGAAACTCGAAAATAATCCCAACATTACACTTTCTCAGACGGTTAGCGGGATGTAATTTAACTTTTAACAATTTACTTTGAGCGATGTAAAACATTATATTTTAAAAATAGGATTTTAATACATTGTAAATACCGCGGACTGCCTCATAACTTTAGTTCCGCGTTTGGAATTTATGCAAGAATTTTCCATTTAAGTGAATGACATTTGCTCTTATACTTCAGTGCAAACAAACACGGATTTAGTATGGTGGTTTGTTACATCATTTTGTTTTTCCAAAATTCTAACAAAATTTCCAAATATAATGCCCACCAAGTTAAAACGACGCTCTGCAGGCTCGTGAACCGGAACTCTCTTCTCACGGTGTTTTTTCCCCACACGGCTGTTGAATAATGGACGCGGACTCAAAACGTGATTGGCATCGTGAAAAAGTACGCGGATAACAGAAATAAACGCAAATAAATCCTTCAAGGAAAACCGGGTGAAAAAAACAACTCTTAGCTCGGAAATATTTGCAAGTGTGGCTTACCTAAAAAGCAATAATGACAACCCTCGTTCTTGATAACGGAGCATATACTGCCAAAATAGGATACAGCCACGAGAAAGTCAGGTAAGATCGTCCGTCAGCTAATTTTTTAGTTAAGTTATCCTCTTAAATATGTCCAGTAATTTATACGTACATTAAATACGTGAGAACAGAATATGAAATAAGTTATGATCAACAATACCAAGCACAGTACACTTGTTATGTTCATCCATAATTGCCAGGGAGATGAAACAAACCAATGGAGTATTATTCTACTTTGCCGACCAACCTGAAAGGCTTTTTAATCTACCTTCTTTTTGAGTTTAATGTTATATGCTACGATTTGGACATGTGTCACCATATTAATTTTTTGTTCAAACACCTTTTTACCGTAGCGTCATCCCAAATTGTCAATTTCGGTCAAAGACGTCGAGATTGAAAACATTTACTGCTAATCAGCTCGATGAAATAAAAGATCCATCTGGACTTTTCTACATACTACCCTTCCAGAAGGTGAGTCCCCGGCGATACAGTTTGTCGAGGAGGAGGGGCGACGATATAAAAAAAAATCTGACCCCAAACGAAGCTCTAACGTTAAACACACAAAGATTATTTCATTTATTTGGGATGGGGTCCAACGGTTTATTTGGATCGTTTGATGGAAGATATTTACGATTGCCCGGGTACGTCTGGTACAATGTATGTTAGAAACGAACATAAAGTTTGTTTTCATGCTGAATTGTGTTACTGTGTGTTTTTCCCCCAAGTAGATTGTGCTTCTTGTAATGCTGTGTGTTTTTTAGGGCTATCTGGTGAATTGGGATGTACAGCGGAAAGTATGGGATCACCTGTTTGGAAAGGAAATGTTCAAGGTAAGGTTTGTTTTAGAGTAGTGTAATATGTGTGTTTCTTTATGAAAGATGGAGAGCGAGTTACATCATCTACGCTGATTTAAACCCCCTCATAATGTTAGTTCACCAGATATGTTGTGTACTGGTTTAATATAAAGCATTAATAATAATAATAGTTTTGTTGTTGTTTTCTGCAGGTGGACTTTGCAGACACAAGTATAGTGATCACAGAGCCCTATTTTAACTTTACGTCAATTCAGGAATCTATGAATGAGATCCTGTTTGAGGAATACCAGTTTCAAGCAGCTCTTCGGATTAATGGTAATTTATGATGGATGGCTTCAGGTGATATTCTTGCAGCACTGTACCATAATTTTGAGCTACTTTTACGTTCATGGATTTGGCTTTGTCTTCTGTTTCAGCTGGGTCATTGAGCGCACACCGATACTTCTATGAGAACAGCTCAGAGTTGTGCTGCATCGTGGTGGACAGCGGCTTCTCTTTCACACACATCATTCCCTATTGCAGGGGCAAGAAGATGAAGGATGGAATCTGCAGGTCACAATGCCACAAACATGACTCTCAAGTCTAAGATGGCATCCTGCCAAGCACCTGAGTACTGAAGATTTGTGATTCACAATGTCAATCAGATTGTAATTTGATTTCTCCCTTTGTTTTATTGTAGGTTGAATGTGGGTGGAAAACTGCTGACCAATCACTTAAAAGAGATCATTTCATACAGGTGCTTGACATTTTTGTCTTATTAACAGGCAAAATATGTCATGTCTTGGTTATATAAATTTATTTGTGACGCTCTCCTCCCGTTCCCAGTATTTAGTGCACCTTTGTAATGACATCTTCTGCAGGCAGTTGCATGTCATGGACGAGTCCCATGTGATCAATCAAGTCAAGGAGGACGTGTGCTATGTTTCTCAGGAATTCTACAAGGACATGGAAATAGCTCAGTAGGTTCTTTCGCTGCCTAATGTTAGGTGACCGCCCTTTGTCGGGGTGCATTGTGTATTCTTAATTAACCTCAGCAGTCCAGAAGCTTTTTTCAATATCCACTACTTTTTAAGGAAGACCCATGACCAATAGAGGAGTATCCAAACCTGTGGTGTCCGACACATTTTTTGCATGAAATTAACTGGACAAAAATTTGACTGATTTTCCTGTACTGAAGTGTCACAATAACCCCACAGGTTAAAGGGGGAGGAGAACACAGTGATGAGAGACTATGTGCTTCCTGATTTCAGCTCCATTAAGAAGGGCTACTGCAAGGTAATTCTTTAAGTCTAGGTAACCATCTTAGATGTGATGAGAAATCTCTAACTTTTGTGGCACAGTAGGAGCTATGATGCATACAAGCTGCGGAGGGGTGGGCTGTACAATGGGCAAACAAAAGGGGTTTCTCAGATTTAGGTGTATTTCCTAGGCCAGATATTGTTTGTGTGACTGATCGGATCTGGCTCCATAGTCTATCTGTAGAAGCATAATGGGAAGGATATACACAATGTTTGTATATATCCTCTACTCCAGAGCTCTTCAAATGTGGACCTCAATTCCAAATCCAATTGTTTTCAGTCCTCCCAGATAGCAAATTTAATAATTACTAATTCTGATTGGCCACAGAGGCTTTACACCCAGCTCAAAGGTAAAGGAAAGCTGGGATAATTGGCAGTCCTCGGACCTTGAAGACCGTGATTTGAATAGCTCTGCTCTACTCTGTGCATCTGAATTAGTGATTACTGTAGTGTTTCAATTTCAGATGTGAGCAGAACACCAAGGTCTTCTATTGTTGACATAGAAACTTCTTGATTCAGTTTGAGATCTCAGTTTGCAACTTAGGAATAATGTTAGTTGTCCCTTAGTCTGGTTTCAGTAAGACCTAAAATGTGAAACTGACGTTTAATAGTTAATTCACAAGAGCTGCTTCAGTTGTAGTAATAATAATAATAATAATAATAATAATAATAATAATAATAACAATAATAATAATAAGTTATTTTTACCAGATGGACTTTGCAGACAAGTGTACTAATAATAATCCAAGTTACAGATTGCATTTGCTGCTTTTGGTACTTACGGAACTACATGGTTTATTTAATGTAACATTGTGTTAATTGTATGATAATCATCGTAGCACAGAGGTTATATTATTTGAATCACATTCTAATTTTACTAGGATCTGATGTTAAAACCCAATTTTATAGTTTTAGTGGTGTTGGGTTGAGTGCTTTGGTTTGGCTCTATTTGCTTTTAGCCGCTGGGGGATCCTTCGTGCAGCATGACCAGGGGTGGTTATGCAGTTGTAATTAGTGTATGCATATCCTACATTTTATCCCACACAGCCCCACGAGGAGATGAACTTCACAGGCAAGTACAAACCCGGTGAGCAGATACTCCGGCTGGCCAACGAGCGCTTTGCTGTGCCAGAGATGCTCTTTCATCCCTCTGACATCGGCATCCAGGAGATGGGCATCCCAGAGGCAGTGATCAACTCCATCCACAACATGCCGGAGGGTATGAGAACGGGGGGGATTCCGGATGTATCTGAAACCTCCCTTGTAAAAGTGTAGAAGCTGCTCTAAGCAGTCAAAGCACAAAGCAGATGGTTAATATTCCCATTGAGCCTGCTGCACGTCCATTATTGCAGGCTGTAAACAGCAACTTTGAAAATGCAAAAGTGGAAAGTTTGTTTCTGTAGCACTTTTTGGTTAATGTTTGCTGTCCATTTCCTGTGTCTGAACAGAGATGCAGCCTCACTTTTTCAAGAACATTGTGCTCACTGGGGGCAACACGCTGTTCCCGGGCTTCAGAGACAGAGTGTACAAAGACATCCGCTCCTTCGCTCCCACCGACTTCGAAGTATCTGTGGTGTCGCCGCCCAAGTGAGTTTGGCCTGTCCGACGATGTCAGGGACCCAAAGGCACCAACTCCCCGCTAACACTTTCCATGTGGCTTTTTTTTGTTTCCTCAGTCCCATCTGTTATGCGTGGGAAGGGGGTAAGCTCTTGTCAGAACACCCAGACTTTGAAGAAATGGTTGTCACTCGAGAAGACTATGAAGAAAACGGACATTTCATCTGTGAAGAAAAGTTTGATATTTAAAGCACATTCCAAGCAGCAACATCAGACTGGTGAAACGATGACTCAAAAGTGTTTCAGCAGTACTGCTATACAGTCCAATGTGCTGAATTACATTAAATGCACTTCTGCTGCTAGCTGTATTTGGGTTTAGTGTAAATTGTATAGATATTCAAAATCATTTTTTAGTTTTTTTTTTTTAAAACCTAAATGCATTTGTTGTTTAAGAAACTCATTGTGAATTTACAGTTTTTGCAGGCTGGCTTTTTACGTTACAATTGAACACAAGACTGTACATAATAAATTCCAGTAAGATGTGTTAAAAGTTTATCTTGTCTGAATATGGATGTATACAGACTTTTTGCACCTACAGCCTTCTTACAAAATAAAACTGAATCGAGGATGAAATGGTTAATAATGTGGACACAATAAATCTACTTTGTAATACAACGTAAACTGAAACAACCATAAGTTATGCCTTGACTGGCATTTAGTGACGTTACGGGTAGTGATATATGTATTTCAATAAACGCTGCAATAAATTTCATAAGTCATATACAGCAAACTAAGCTGGCCCACTAAGTTGAGGCAAAGTGTTTATTTAGGCGACGAATACAACAAACTCAACGCTAATCCGCTGGCTAGTAAAAAAAAATGCACATCGGACTCCACGAACATTAAATTAACCCAATTTGCTAGTAACAAAAATTCTTCCATTGCACCTATGCATATATTTCGCAGAACAGCCCCTGAAAACGCTTCAAAGGGTCGTGAGGTGATTGGATATTCCATATTGCGTCACTTCCGTGAGTGTGATGGCGGCCGATTTGACTCCGAGATTTCGAAGGTTGACCAGCCAGACGAGGAGTATTCGTGAAAATGGCCAAATGGGTACGGAAAAAAACCTGTCTGGGGTATATATGATTTGTCTTTTAATGGTAGACTTCTTCTTTTTATCGTCATACAACAGGAGCGAGTGTAGATAAGTTTTTTTTTTCTACTACTGATTTGCGCCGCACGTCACGGTATCTGTGTTATGCGACTAGAGTTCTATTATCGGGGGTGGCCAATCCTATCCGCAAACCCAGTGGCCTGTACTACGAAGCGGGGTTACTGGCTTATCGGGGTAACTTGTCGGATTTAAGGTACCACAGTTTAAATGAACTTCATATTCGTTCACTTACATTTTGCCCAGACTACCTTAAATCCGACAAGTTACCCCGATAAGCCAGTAACTCCGCTTCGTAGTACAGGCCACAGGTGTGAGGACTCTTCAGCCAATCAGTCCTCAATTAGTAATCTAAGTAGAGAGTTGCAGCGAAAACCCGCATACATAGCGGTCCTTTCTGAATAATACTGGCCACCTCTGGTTTAGACCATGAAACTGCGGGGGCAGACTGGGGTAAGTTGTTCTCTTAAGGGGGTCAGTTGCGTTTGACCTTAATGTCCTCCAAGTGTATTACACTAGATAATAATTGCCGGTATTAAAAAGACCATTTTGAAAACCGATGTTATTTATGCAATGATTTGCAGTTTCATTTTGCAGTTTTTATGTAACTCACACTGATTTCTTGTTTAGACTACCTTGCTTCCACAAGGTTGATTATTTTTTTTTTGTCGCTAACTTTTCACCCACTGAAGTGACTCGACCACCCGGCGACCCCAAGTCCTGTTCCCAGTGCATGACATTTTAGCTACATATATAAATGTAAATAATAATAATAATAATAATAATGAAAGTAATAATACACTTATTTCAGACCAAAGTACTGTAGCACAGGTATTTAAAGGGGCCATGGAGGGGGGGCATGCATGTTGTCACAGGGGTACTGCTCCCCCCCAGAATGGTGCCTACTCTGTCCGGACTGCTGTTGGCTGTCCTATTTTAACCCCTGTCCTCCTCCTTCCCTTCCGTTACTCTCTCCTACCCGATCGAACAAAAAACATGAAACACCCAGACTACGGAAGCTGTGAACCGGCATGCGTGCGATTAGTGTAAAACCTGGTACATAGAGCACGGTAAAGCTGCGAGATCTCTATCGCTGTACTCATATACTCCCACAGGTTTCTCTGGGCCATTTCATGCCACGCAGCTATGGAAGAACATCATCCATGCACTGCAGACGCAGGTGGAAGTCCGGCCTAGGCGGCTGCACCTGCGCACGCACGCCGACTGCTTCACCGGCTCGGATGCGGTGGACGCGGTGCTCAGTCACCTCATGCAGGACGTCTTCTTCTGTTCCAACGAGATCTCCCGCCTCAAGGCCACCAGACTCTGCCAAGCTCTCATGGAAGCTAAGGTTTTTGAGCCCGTGGGGACAAGACTCTTTCGCAGGGAGAAGGAGGCCACGTTTGAGGACTCGAGCTGCAGCCTGTTTCGATTCCTCGATTGCGACGCCTTGCCTGGCTCAACGAAGTGTGGAAACTTGGAGAATGAGACACCTGACCTTCCTAAAGGGAAGAGAAAGATTCACAGGTTTAAACTTACCTTTGATGTTTATTACTAAGTCGCTATGAGTGTAACTAGGCTGTTTAACAGTTTGCCTCGTTGGTATATTAGCTTTTGCTTGTACAAATTCAGTACTGCTTTTTGTAGAGGGATGGTGCCTAGTAGTGATGGACAAAATGAAGCTTCACAAACCATTTGCTTTTTTTTTTTTAATTTTTTTTAAAGACCCCACTAGATGGTACTCTTGGTTTGCTTTGGGGCATGCATTGTGCCCTTTTTTGAGCATAGAGCACCATCTAGTGGGGACAAAAAAATCCAGCAAACGGTTCATGAAGCGTCGGTCTGTCCATCGCTATTGCCTAGAGCAGGGTTCTTCAAATCTGGACCTCGATTCTAAATCCAGGCTGTTTTCAGTTCTCCCAGGTAGTTAATTTTAAAAATTACTGATTCTGATTGGTCAGAGGCTTCATACCTGACTGACAGGTAAAGGAAGGCTGGAAAACCAGCAGTGCTCGGACCTCGAGGACCGTGATTTGAATAACCCTGGCTTAAAGGTAGGGTTGATCATACAATAGAATGCTTAGGGGCAAATTTATGCAAAATTCATAAAGTCAATGTTTTTTAATAATAAAGAAGATGTATGATTAGCTTAACACATTCGCCATTATAGTTGTGAAATTTAAAAGGAATCATGATGAACAATGAATGCATGATGCATGTTTTTTTTTAACCTCAGCTCTGTTAACTTGTTCTTCAGGTGCAGTGTTCACTAACTTATAATGACCTGTTAACCTTTAAATGCATTCTGCCATTAGAAGGGATCAGCTGAGGACCTTTTCTAACCCTCTGGCTTCGGAGGCGTCAGACAAGAGGGTGGAGAGGCTGTTGAGGACCATCAACCTGAGACCTTCCATGCCCCCTGACCGGCCTGTGGCCCCTGTCAGCAGCGCCCTCCCCAAGAGAGGTCAGGGACACTGGGAGTCACTGCTCACTTGTGGATGCACGGTGTCTGAGTCAGCCATTATTAACACTAGGGGTGTAAGACATGATTGCATGATAAAAGGGCCTTGCTCAAGGACCTAATGGTGAAAACACTCTGCCAACCCTGGGATTTGAACCTGCAACCTTCCTAACCCACTCAGCCACACCGCCCTGAAAAGTGCTACACAAATCCCCAAGCACAGCAATGTAAGGCAACATTGCCGACAACTGAGCCACCGTGAATACTGACAGCGGTACCAGTTTGACATACAGGTGTAGCAAGAAGATACTGTTGGATGTCTTATGATAAAGTGGTTTTTGAGGTTTTTGTGCTGTTTGAGGAAACTGGTGCAAGCTTCTTTTTTCCCCAGAAGGAAGTTGCCAAAAGGCTTATAGCAGTGTGTCAGAAATAGTGGGCTTGTGGTTAAGGGACTCGAGTTAATATTGGTGAACTACATCAGTATGTATCAATACATATAACTAGCGTAGATACAGGTAAAGCCTGGATCTTTTGTTGCTGTATCTGCACACATCAATGTTCTGTTACAGCTCTAATGAAATACTGTGGCACTGAAATTACCCAATGAAAAATTCATAGTCCAGATCAACAAAGCATTCACTTAATGACGTGTCTCAGAATCACTTGCAGGGGAAAACATTGTCATTATGACTATCAGCACACTGATGATCAGCTGGCTGCCCTCGTGGGCGTCACTGGAGGGTGCTAATTAAAGTCTGTTTGCTGTGGAGGAAATGGGGGGTGTGCACGGCGCCGGGCGGCTCTGTGTGATTAGCGTGATGCTACTGCAGATGAAAAGGTGCACATGAGGATCTAGGAAGATGGATGTGACTGTAAATGAGGCACTCGCTGAAGCCCACCTGGGGTGTGGTCTGAGTAATGAGGTCTGTGCCCTCTGCTTTGAAAGCCCCCACGCATTTAGTGTGTGCCCCAGGGAATTATACTGCTGCACATCAAAGGTTCCCTGTCTGCTGCATTACACTGCAAGCACAGGGTGGAGTTGCTGATTCTTAAAACTGTTATTTCTGGGTTACTGATGTGTGGCTTTTTTGGTCGCTTTTTTTTTTTTTCTTCTTGTGAAACTGGGTGACTCTGCCTGCATTGTAGGTGTGTCTATGTGGTTTTTATCTGTGAAATGCAACAGGCTGAACTATCTCTGCCGTCAGCCTGCTGCACACGATATGTGCTCTTTGTCTCCCCCTAGTGGTGGAAGAGGTGTGGAAGCAGCATACGCTCCTGCAGCTACTGCAGATTGTGGAGCTTCCTGTCCTGGACGGCATTTTGACTTTGGCGGCGCAACCAGATCCACAAGAACGAGTCCTCCTGTCTAACTGCCAAGACCTGGTCATCCCCAACAGCTTTGTTGACAAGGAGGTCATGCAGAGCCTGAACCTTCCACAGTCAGTACCAGAGCTTAACTCACAGCCCCAATCAGTAGAACATTGCATTCTATTGGGTCCCATATTTAGCTCTGTTTTGATGCAGTCTCTGTATGTGAGCTTCTGCTTGTTTCAAACACACTTTCTTACCCTCCCCCACCAACCCCCTTCATTGCTCCCTCTGCTACCCCCAGGCTTGACCCCTGGCTGGTTGCTGCCGCTGACTGCCTGGAGCACTTCCCCGATCAGCTGATTGTGGTCGCAGGGGAGCACCTTCTCCAGCAGGGCGGAGCTGTAGCTCAGGGGGACGAGTCCACAAAGCGAGTACTCTGTGACATCATCGCCAAGCACTATAGCGGCCAGGATAGGAAGGCGCTCATCTCTGGACACTATCTGGACATTCATATGGCCATCCTGCACCTTCTGGGTGAGGCTGGCACGCATGTGTATGCGTGATTCTTTGTGTGCGCTTGTGCTTCTTTGGGAGTAATATATGGTTACCTGCGTCACAGCGGAGGCCAAGCCAGAGTCGGCCCTAAGCGCCTCCCAGCTGTGCCTGCGGCTGATGGGGCCCGGCGATCGGGACGAGCTGCGGAGGCTGCTGTCCTTCATGGCCACCGCATCGCATCCGGACGCCTGCCGACTGCACAAGCAGGTCCGGGTCCCCTGATCCCAGCCGTACAAACTCCAGCTGTCTGCCGCTTACTTGACGACTGAGATTTGGAGACTTACAGGGGTAGCCATTGTAGTTAAGGAACAGCCTTGTGTCAGAAGGCTCCAGGTTTTGTGAAGCTGTGCCATCTGGAGTGTGGCGCCCTCTTCAGGCTGGTCTTGATTTTTATTCTGAAGGTCTAAGAATATGGATGTAAGTGGCTGTTATGGGTCAGTGTGGTAAGACTCTGCTTTATATGATTATATCGGTATTCTTTACCTGTACTGATGCATGACAGACTTGTGTTGTCCCCTCTGTCACTTTCAGACCGACAACCGGTCCTTTGTCAGTCGGACCTTCCAGAAGGCCATAGTGCAGAGTAAAGATCTGTCCCGGGCCCAGAGTGAGAGGCTGGTTCTGTTCCTGATGGACAACCATGAGAGACTCTTCAAGGTACCGTTTCTTTGTACAAACCAGGCACACCTGTTTCATTCATAGTCCGACACTGGTTAGGGTGTTCAGATAAAAATGTAGTTGACAGTCATATCTGCTATTAGATGCTGTTAAATGCTGGGATAGATTACAGTAACGACGGGGATACATTCTGAGAAATGCACAGTTAGGCAATTTTATCGTTGTGCAAAAATCAGTGTACTTGTATAGACCTAGACTGTACAGCCTACTACACACCTAGACTATATGCCATAGCCTAAGCAACAGTGACAAGTACAGTGTAGTACATTGATAAAACAGTAAGTTATCACTGTGTGCGCTATACTGAACTTTTACACGACTGACAGCAGAGTAGGTTTGTTTATGTCAGCATCACCGCAAAAACGTGAGTGATGTGTTGCTACAATGTTACAACAGCTATGACATCACTAGCTGATGAGAATTTTTCAGCTCCATTACAGTATAATGTTATGGGACCCCGTTGTACATGTAGTCCGTTGTTGACCAAAACGTCGTTAGGTGACGCATGACTGTACTTCTAAAATCGTTAGTAATTTTGTTTATTCGATATGTGGAAATTAGACGCCTGCATCGCTGATTAAGATGGTGAGCAAGACATTGCAAAGCCTACAGCAAGGCAGGGACTTGGATGCTATACCAAGTAAGTGTATTCTGTATTTAGCGACATAAGTGTTTCTCTTTGTTGATCAGGATACAGCTCACTATGTTGCTATAAATAAAATCCTCTTGTACAGGCTCAGTGGGCAGCAGATCAGATCCACAGCTTCAATGTTGAGGGTTTGAATCTTGCCTCTCCTCTCTGGCTGTAGAGTTTGCTTGCCCGTCAGCTGGCCTTTCTCCGTTCTTATGAAGATATTTTTGGCTATTTGCTGCCTCTGATCTTGCCTATGTGTGAGTGTATATGTGCCCTTTGATGAACTGGTGTCCCGTCCAGTGTGCTTTCTGTCTATGGTGCCTGGGAAAGGCTCCAGTCTTGTTTCGCAATGAAGTCCATAGGGACCCCTAGACAGTCCTCATTTTCACTCCCTCCCAGCACACTTGAACCAAATAGGTGTGTTGGTAACTGGGAGCAAAAATGTGGACTGTATGTTGAGGACTGGGTTGAGAAATCCCTGCTATAAAGGATAATCACTTTGATGGATAGATGGGTGGATGGATAGATGGATGGATTGCAGAATGGTATGTTTTAGGAAAGTCTGATTTAAAAAAAAATTTTAACCTGATTTTTTTCAGGCCCACAGGGACAAGTCACAAAGTCCAGTGATAGACCAACCTACTGAAGGATGCTGAAACTAAATTAAATGCTAGTAATAATTATGGTTCTTTCACAGCATTTGCATTTTGTCAGCGTGTGACTGTGCAGCAATATGAGGCCCAGAGGGATAAGACCACCCAGGAGAGCCTGAAGCAGCTGATCCGGAACGTCAGCCTAAGCGCTACGCTGCCCTTCAGAGAAAGGCGGAGGCTGATGAGAGATTTCCAGAAGCATCACCCAATTGTCTTCCTCCAGCACTTTGCCACAACTATCGAATAAAACGGCACCACCCAGTGGTGGTCATCCAACACTGTTTCTGCACGAGTGGATGGATTTTAGCCACTGATTAGTAATTAGCTGAGGTTCCAGTAATGACTGTCTGAGGCCTCTTGACCTTACTGTAAAGCATATAGGCTATTAGTCTGCACACTAAATCAGGGTTGCCAACTTTGGTCAGCTGGCTGGTGTGAGATTTTCATTTTGAGACATCTGCACACGCATTTACATGCATGTAACAGATATTACCTTGCAAATAGTCTGTAGGGTTTGCAAACTACCCCAGTGTGTTTGATGCAACTAATTTTAGGTTTATAATATTGATTTGCTATAAGATTTCTTGGGTGAGTGTCACACCAAATGCTTGAGAGTAGGCAACCCTGTTAAATGTATTACCAAATGTAGTTCTCTCAGGGATAGTGAGTAGTAACTAGTCTTAAGGAACAGGCTGCTTCTTAAGGAAAGCATTTAAATGATTTAATTTTGTTCTGTAGTATTAACTTTGAATTGTATTGGGGCACTTGAAGCAGGATGTCTTGTGTAAAACTGTAGTTCGGCTTGTGTGGTACCTAATTTGTTTATACCGTCGAGACATTACACGGCAGTATACTGTACTTTCCAACACAACACTATTCCAGTATTTTGAAATCTTGGCAAATAAATTTGCCAAATGTGGGCTGCGTTGCATTTAATGAATCGCTAATGTTCTGTTAAAATGTTGTGATTTGATTGCTCTTATAGTGATTTCGTGCTGAATGAACAAATGGAATTGGATTTAAATGGGAAGATATTGGGTGCGTTATGAAAAATGTAAGTGACCTACTGAAGTATGATCTTTCCATGTATATACAATTAATCTGTGTGTTTGAAAGGTTTGGTTACATTTCATTGCTGTAATTTTAACTGAATGGTGTTGATGGTTAGGTAGTAGCACCATGTCTTCTGGATTTGCTAAATCATTTTAGAGTATTCCAATATGCATCAAAGTGTTGGAATAATTCAGTTATTTGCAATATTTAAACTTTGATTTAGAATTAATATTAAATGCACTTTAACATGCGGGAAATGTTTGACTATGTAATTTGAAAATAAATTATTTAAAATAAACACTCATTTTAAGCACGCCGCACTGGTGAGTTATACAGCTGGTTTCATTGCTGTTCCTGTTCAAATCGTCTTAATTAGCCTGAAATAAAATAAATGTCATTAAAGACAGATACAACTTAAGACTTTGAATTATTCAACTCTTGTATAGACGGTGATGCAAAGATGCTTGTTTAACTTGTTTTGGTTCACAGGAACCCATCAGAGGTGGAGATTTCAGGTCTAGAGAGTACAAATCCAGACCATGATTTTGTTTCAACCAACCAGTTCAGTACTCTGTGACTGTGGCTCTTTATACTCAACTGGTTAGTTGAAACTAAATCATGGTCTGGATTTGTACTCTCTCTACCTGAAATCGCCACCTCTGGAAGTCATGTAGTTGTATATTACTAAATTAGTATTAATCTTAAATTTGGTCATTCCTGTTAAGTCGAGTAACTTATGAAATAGATTATTTGATCGTGTGTTTGACGGTAACGCTGATATGCTAGGAGCTAAAAAATAGAAAATTAAATAATATCATAGATTCCGTAAATAGAAAAGATGTACTAGATTTGCATAATTGTCAAGTCATAAGTGCAGCTAAAATAGGACTTCCTTCAAAATTCAACGTTAACAGAATTCACGTTTCGTAATGCCCCTTTACTTGCGAAAATGTGTCATTTCAGTTGTGTGTGTGTGTGTGTATATATATATATCACATGCTTATTGGTTGCGACTAAAACTGGCACTCTCGTTGACAGCCTGTTTTGTACAAGCGATTCGTCCATTCAATTACCGCTACTGCAGATCAGCTTCAACCATCTCAGCCGATGGGTTGTTTTATTCACCGGACTCAACGCTGTGGACGTTAATTGGCCAATACTATTTTCCTTCAGTTTACTCGCGGAGAAAAAAATAAATTCCCGTGACTCGACCGGATGTGACGTTGGTCGCCTGAGCAGGTTGAATTCTGCTCGCTGGAAGACATGGAGTCTCGTAACTGCTTCGGCCACTGACAGTTATATTTTGCACTAATCTCATACTGTAATATTAGTCAAGAAACTGACACCTTATTCAAGTGAAAGGTAAGCATTAGAAACGCTTACATCCAGGTAAATTCGCGCTGGCCGTAGTAATTTAATTCGGTAAGCCTTTTAAAATGACGTCTGAGCGTAGCCTAGCAGGAGAAGCAAACAAAACAGCGGTTGTCGAATCGGGGGCCCTGGTCATGGAGAAAGGTGTTCAGATACCGGAATCCCGAGTCCACATCAGCCCGGCAGTCGGCGGACTGTCTACCAGTCCGTCCGCCACTAACTCTTCTCGCGCACGTCGGCCGCGTAGTTACCTCAGGGATCTCCCGGGATGGTTCGTTCATCACAACATTACCGTACTTTTTTTTTTTTTTTTTTAAACATTTTTGAGACTAAGAATTAAGGGGATGGCGTCGTTGACTATGTTTACTAGTGAACCGGTCTTACACTTTCCGTAATGATTAGCTGATTTCTCTCGCTGGCTCTGTTCTTGCAGTTGGGATTTCGTCACCCGTTCGACGGGAAATAAGAGGCAACATGAATGTTTCAGGGAGGCGCGGTGTGCGCCAGATCGGCACGCAGCATTACGGTATCTCACGCATGTAAAGCGGAGCGCAGATAGGCTGAGTGGGGCTGTCACACCGCGGCTGCAGGGCCCTGTTCACGCTCCACCTAGTAGCCACTTATCTGAACTATTTCAGCGCCCCCCCCAGCCCACAAAATGTAGTCATCTAGACTGGTTCCTCAAAAAGGGGAGCAACTGCATTAATCACTTTGTGATGCTATTTTTATGAACGTCGACAGGTTTACTTACTTTCGAGTTGATTATAAGCGTATGCGCAGCCCGGAAGATTTTGATACGTCTTATGTTTTCCGATGTACTGTATTTGCTTGGTATCGGTACTGGAGTTAAATATGTTTTAAATGGATTTTTTTCCTGGCGCTCCAGTGAAATGTTTACTTGAGCTCAAGTAACCTTTGCTGCCAGCTTAATTTATTATATAATCTTAAACGTAGGAAAATGGCTGTCACATCTGTAAAAAGGTAACTACTTACATCGTGATAGTTTATTAATTGCAATGCCACATCCATGTTAATTTTGAGAATCCTTTTAGTGATTAGCTCATTAGGATCTGAGGACATGTCAGCAAGGATTTAAGCAGCCTTGGGGAAATGTTTAGTAACTAACCTTTCAAATAACACATTGGCAGAACAAGCAGGTGGTCATTTTCTTAGATTTTTTTTTTTTAAAGATTCTAGTTTGTATGGCAAGGTAGGCTTATGTTCTTTCACATTTTTTTAAGAAACACTGGGGATTGGATTTGTATCCTGTTTGATGTGCTGCACATGTGCCTGTCGGGAGTGACTTGTATTGCAATCAAAGCCTTTGATCATGTGGGTAGACCACATCTAAATGCATCCCTTGGTGTGATTCCACCGAGACACGCAAGCAGTCAGGTTTTTGCGACGTGCGTGGAATTGTGGATGCACCGATTCTATTTTCAGCTGGTCAGGGTGTCTTGGTTTGGAATTGTTTAATAGGGGGAAATAAGTGTTCTCCTCCCTGTAGCTTTTCTTTTGATGTGCTGAAAACACGACTTGTATCTCAGGGCATGTCTCGTGCCCTACTTTTACGAGGTAACGGTACATACCATGCAGAGGATTTGCGTGCATGAATTAAAAGAGCGGCCTCTTCCCTGCTTCTGAGATTTGCTCTGAGCTGGAAAACTGACAGAGATCAATTTGTGGTTTGTCGTCTAGTTGCCTGTTCCCCTTGGCCGAAGTGTTTTGCTTGATCGGCTTCAGAGACATGTGGCACTGAATGCAGATGCTGTGAGCCGAATGTGTCCATGGAGATGCTACTGTCAGTATCTTCTTTAATCCTGGCGAAGGAGGCCAAGCAGGGATAGGAACTGTGGGCGTGTGTTTGTTTTGGGACTCGGTGATTTAGCTTTGATGCAGCGATGAAGTTCTCTTGGTGGTTTCGGTCCTTGGCAACAGTGAGAAGATGCAGCACTCCAGTGTTTCGTGTGCTGTATTTTATGCCCAGATAATATAAACTCATGTCAGCAGGCATGTCATAGGTGAAGACATTAGTATTAATCTTACAGACATTTCTCTAGTGGCTCCTGATTGGCTCATACACTGAGTGACTGTCCTTATTATCATTTCTTCTCAGGTGACTGAGGTCAACAGGCAGAAGAATCATGGAGTCCATGCTCAACAAGCTGAAGAGCACCGTCACCAAGGTGACTGCAGACGTCACCAGCGCCGTGATGGGCAACCCAGTGACTCGTGAGTTTGAAGTGGGCCGGCACATTGCTAGCGGTGGCCCCGGTCTTTCCTGGAGGATCTACAATGGGACCAAGAAGTCCACCAAGCAGGTAGGTTGACCTGATGGGTTATGGTTACCTACCTCACCAGAGGAGATTCTTGATATGGTGGATAATGTCCATATTTATCTTATTTGCATTATTTCCCTTCCTCGTGTCCATCTGCTGCTCAGAATTGGTAGTTTTAGCTTAGCTTCACAGTCATTTCTGGAGCTGAAATGTTGAAGATGCTTTCATGGTAACCTTTGGTTTTCCACCACGTCTGCTTCCCCAGGAGGTGGCAGTCTTTGTTTTTGACAAGAAAATTATTGACAAGTACCAGAAGTTTGACAAGGACCAGATTATCGATTCGTTAAAGAGGGGCGTTCAGCAGCTGACCCGTCTGCGACATCCTCGGCTGCTCACAGTCCAGCATCCCCTAGAGGAGTCACGGTGAATAACAGCTAGTCCACAGTTCACAACCATCTCTGTTTTTATTAGTATATATTTTTTATCTTTTGCCTCTAGAAGAGCATATTGTGGGTTAGAATGACTCGCACTGTAAATCACATGTTGACATCTTCTAAAAGACTTCATTTTCACTATCTGAATCAGGTGATTCTTCCACTGGCCCAGTTGTGCCTGCTGCGTTTCTGTGAAGTGCATGCAGAGAGTGTCAAAAGAAAATTGGTAGCATAGATACCCTGTTAATTTTCTTCCTGTTGCTTATTTGCTCATTAGTCTGTGAGGTAGGTAGGACTCAATCCAGCATGTCATTGGAATGATGAGAAAGTTGCTGCATTGAACGATGGAATATTTATCTTGAATGTTTGAGGTTTGGTATCTGTTTACTTGAATTTCCATTCAGTTGCAAATGCCCTATTAGTTTACTTGCTAGTAGCCGTACCACATCATTGTAGAAAGTATGAATGAGAATGGAAGCAAAACCTTGGCAGGTTGCAGTGCTGTTCTACAGAACCATGATTGGGAATATCTTAGCATCTAGTTTTGAAAGTAATTGATGAAAAAGGAATTATGCACAACAAGAACTGTAATTATGTCTGAAATGGGAATCTGTGCCGTGACTCATCCACAACACCCCCATTTCTCCAGGGACTGCCTGGCGTTCTGCACCGAGCCTGTTTTCGCCAGCCTATCCAACGTCCTCGGCAACTGGGAGAACCTGCCCAGCCCCGTGCCCACAGATATCAAGGACCACAAGCTTTACGATGTGGAGACCAAGTATGGCCTGCTGCAGGTGAGCTACAGGCCTGCTGCTTGGTTGGATTTTGAGGAAAAAGCTTTTGTGAATGGCTGAAAATTCCTGGGTGGGGCCCAAAGAAAATTGGGGGCGTGTCAAAATCCTCTTGGCCTCAGCGAGACCGGAGCTTGAGTGCTTAAGCGGCTGGACCTGACTCCCTAGTGGTATGCATGTACCTACAAAGGATCATCAGACCTAAGTTGCTTTAGTAATTACCAAGTTTGCTAACTGGATAAAATGGGAAAACTGTAGGTGTTTTTGTTTATTTCAGCTATGGTCTCTAATCAGTCTTCATTTCCACAAGGTGTCTGAGGGCCTCTCATTCCTGCACAGTGGGGTCAAGATGGTGCACGGCAACCTGACCCCGGAGAACATCATCCTTAACAAGAGCGGCGCCTGGAAGATCATGGGCTTCGACTTCAGCATCTCCTCCACAAACCCCTCGGAGCAGGAGGTGAGGTGCCTCGTCAAGGTCCAGAGGGATAAATGACTCAACACATAAGCTGTTGTCATGGATACTTGGACCATAAAACCGGATGTTGACCTACTGGTGAGCTGAAAGATGTGTGTAGTCATTGTCTCTTTGTGCTCCTTTGTGTGTGTCTGTCTGTGAACCAGCCCAAATACGCATGTAAGGAGTGGGACCCCAACCTGCCCCCACTCTGCCTGCCCAACCCGGAGTACCTAGCCCCCGAGTACATCCTGTCAGTCAGCTGTGACTCCGCCTCTGACATGTACTCTCTGGGTGTGATCATACACGCCGTCTTCAACGAGGGGAAGCCCATATTGCAGGTCAACAAACACGACATCTTCAAGAGCTTCAGCAGACAGCTGGACCAGGTTAGCACCAATGTTCCCTCTAATTTTTCATGTGTCTGAGCAAACACACAAACTCCCTGAGCGGTCCCTTGGACCACTGTGAGCAACATCAGACGTGTGCACTGTGGTCACGCCAGCATCGCATCCATCCAAGTTACATGGTTTATTAAAAGAATCAAATTACAGCATTTACATTTCTGTTAGGAAACTTTTCATTAAGTGTTTTAGCCCACAAAATCTTGTTCATGACCTGTGTAGTATGTTAACGCTATTGGAAGTATAAATATTTAATTTTAACTATGGCAAAACATGAACTGCCAACCAAACCAAGCCAACTTTGAAAACACAACATTTTTATTATAAAGCTCTGACTTGTCTCACTTGAGTACAAGCCAGCGTGTGAAGCTCCTGCTGTTCACTGGGTGAGAGGGTTCTACTGTGGTCTGGGAGAGAGTCCTGTCTTTGTCTTCAAAGTACAGTATATAATGACACGATTATTTGCATTTCTACTACTCATAAACTAGTATCAGTATTTAATGATCAATATCCATAAATGAAAATTGTAAATAAATGACACTAGATGAGCACAAATCTGATTGAGGACTTAAATTTCACCTTAATTTTTCCGTCTGTCCTTCTCACGTCTCCAATGGTTGTACACGTTGTCCAGGTTGATGACCTCGTCTGCTTGCAACTTTAACTTTATGCGCATCAGCTGGTCCAAATGGTCCACTTCAAGACGATTTCTGTATGCTGTTTTGATACGATTCATCAAACTAAAGCCTCTTTCACAATCTGCACTGGATGCTTGAAATGTAGCACAAATATCCACAAGCTGTGAGATGTGTTTTAGCTCCTCACATTTTAATGTTGCAGCCACCATATCTGAGAATGTGCTGATTAACCCGTGTTTACGTTTTTGCCTCATTATGTACTTGAATTCAGCATATTCCCTGTTAATGACCTCCACAGAATGTGGGCGGTGGAGAATGACCTCATACTTCTTTGCCAGTGTGGCAATGTCTGCTGCTCCATACTCAAAACTGATGTCTGAGCTCAATGCCTCAATGTCAAATGCAGACCGCTCCTTTAATTCATCCTCTGGAAAACGAGCATCCAAGTGATCACAAAGCTTACGAATAAAACGAGTAATCTCACCGGTATTTTGCTAAATCTCACCCAGTTTCACCGTTTTTTTTCTTCTGTTTGCACATACTCTGACAGCCATTCCATCTTAAAAGAATCACATTTCTTTTTTACTTTGGCTTGGTGAGAGGTTGTGCCACTGCCCGTTCGTTTTGCCATTATTATAAAGGGTCGACATAAGCAGCACTGAGCATCATTAGCGTGTCTTCACTCCACATCGGCCACACCGCTTTGCTAGCACATAAGGACGCTGTCATAGCCTGTCTATGACATTGATTAGCTGCGTAAATTCGTATGTGAATCGCATACCGATCACTCACTGACTCGCATTGCAAAATAGCACAGAATGAATTATGTGTATTTTATTTTCAATTCAGGTTGGATTTTTTTTTGTGCGCGGTTGGATTCTTTTGTGAGCGGAGACCGTGTCAGCAGTGCACAATTACGCGCGTGCAGCTTAGCGGGAACAGTGGTTAGCACTCTTACTGGCTTTTGTTTTTTGGTTCTTTTCATGACTCTCAATTCTGCTTTAGGACCCGTATGCTGTGCTGTGACTCGCATTTGGGTTTAGGACACCTGTGTGACCCCCCACCCCCCCACACATCTCTCCCCACCCTGTTCTTCCACAGCTCAGCCGATTGAGCCCGAGTGCTCTTACCCAGATACCAGAGGGGGTACGGGACCACGTGAAGATGCTTCTCAGTGTCACGTCAACAGTCCGACCAGACGCTGACCAGATGACCAAGGTGAGATCTGCGTTCCTTCCTGTTGTCATGGGGGAGAACTTGCTTGATATACCTGCTCGATTCCAGCGTCACAGTTGCAAAAATACAAAAAATTTTGCATCCTTCTCCCAGATCCCTTTCTTTGACGACGTGGGTGCTATGACTCTGCAGTACATTGACTCACTGTTCCAGCGGGACAACCTGCAGAAGTCCCAATTCTACAAAGGCCTGCCCAAGGTGCTGCCTAAACTGCCCAAGGTAGGCGCAGCCGTGTCATTGGTGCGGCCTTCCGGCTGTCCTATCTGATTGGTTGTAATTCACGGTATGGTTTGTATCAGCCAGTCTGAGCTTTTGTTTACATCGAAATGTTTGACGGATAGCGTGTTTCTAGAATACCTTTCGAGCTGTCAGGAGTGGTATCTGGCCGTGCTTCAGCGCAACCATCTTAACAGAGCCTCTGTCTCCACCCGTCAGCGCGTGGTGGTTTTCCGCATCCTCCCGGCCCTCACTTCCGAGTTTGTGAACCCGGACATGGTCCCGTTCGTGCTGCCCAACGTGCTGCTCATCGCCGAGGAGTGCACCAAGGAGGAGTACCAGCGACTCATCCTGCCCGATCTCACGCCCGTCTTCAAGCAGCAGGAGCCGGTGCAGGTGCGGCCGACGCGGGCACCTTCGCCCGTCCCCTTCCCCGCGTGCGCTGCCACCGTCCCTCAGGACCTTCGCTGGTGTCAGCTTGGCTTGATAAAATCTCCCAGAATAGCCTTTCAGAGCTAACAGGCGCTGGTCTCTGAGGACATTTCGTAATCAGAATCAGCTGTATTTCCCATGTACAGCCCAGGTGCAAGGAATTTATTTTGGTGCAACTGAACGCATTAAAGTAAAATAAAATAAATGGGTGATTCTATGGAAATGTCATGCTTTTGGTTAAAGGGTGCAACCCATTATGCAGTGTAATTTGATAGTTGGGATACAACAGAGAACTGCTATTTCAAGCAAAGCAAGTCAATTCTTTTCACCCTGAAGTCATATTTTCTAGCAACATAATTATGGCACTGAAATTCAGAAACCTAGTTCCTGGTTTTGAGTTCCTGGGGCGCCTTGAACTTCTGTAGTTTGTGACAATGCAACAGAAAGTTCTGGTTCCTGAATCCAGTTCCTGTGGTGGGAAAGTGCCTATCGAGCAATAGCCAGGCAGCAACGTAGAGCAGGCATGCCCAACCAAAGAGCTCTCGCTGTAAACAATCGGGTTTTTGCGCAGGCTACTCCTGATCTTGAATAGTGAGTTTAGGCTGATGGGAATCATTTACAAATGCCTCTACATCCTGTGGCTTCTTCCATTTTTTTTTTTTTCTTTCATTTTTTTCTTTTTTTCCTCCATGCTGCCAGGCTAGCAACATGGTGAGTGGTCTTCCTGTGTGTTTTGTTTGTTGCAGCGTGTCTATAGTGTATTTACACACTCAGACCTGTAGAGGGCACTTGTTCACTGTGTGTCTGACACTTGCTGTCAGATGTCGCCTGATTGACGGCTCGTCTCCTCTGTTAGATTCTGCTGATATTCCTGCAAAAGATGGACCTGCTTCTGACCAAGACTCCCCCCGAAGACATAAAGAACTGCGTGCTGCCCATGGTCTACAGGGCCTTGGAGGCGCCGTCCATCCAGATACAGGTAGGAGTGGCGCGTTGCCACGGAGACCCCTGCTGCATGGGAGCAGCCAGGATGCGGATGTCACCATGGCGACAGTCCCAACCTGACTGAAGATTTCTTGCTCTGTGAATAAACATGTGAGGCTGGGTGTTGGTCTGGCTTGGGAAGAAGACGAGTGTCTGCAGCAGGAATGAGGGTGGTCACACCCACTCTCTCTGCCGCAGGAGCTGTGCCTGAACATCATTCCAACTTTCGCCAACCTGATCGATTACCCGTCCATGAAAAACGCACTGATCCCCCGCATCAAGACCGCTTGTCTGCAGACATCCTCACTGGCTGTGAGTTACATTATCTGTGTATATCTCTCTCTCTCTCTCTCTCTCTGTGCCCCCACCGTATCCTGTAAGTTCTGCAACCATGGTTTGTCATCCCCCTCCCTTAAAAAAGGACTCGCTTCTAGCCCCATACACAAAATCCCATAAATATAACCATAAATATGATGTTTTATGGTGGCTGCGTTTCCCTAATGAAATGCCCATTGACCTGCTGGTCTGATCGGTCTGTTAGAGTAAACCTGAAATGACCCACATGAGACTGAAAGCTAAGACCTGTTCTGAAATCATCAACCTGCCTGACCCCTGAGGTTCTGTCCTCCTGGGACAGAATGGCAAGGATTCACCAAAGGCTCAGACTCCTTGATCATTTCCTTTAATTTCCTTCAAAAGTCAGGCTTTGCCTTGATTAATTAGAGCCAAAGTCATTCCCTGTGGTCTGTGCTGTCTGACTGCGGTCTGCTGCCGTGCCTGTCTGCTTGTGTACATTATTGCTGATTGAGCTGATGCACTGCAGGTCCGTGTGAACTCCCTGGTGTGTCTGGGCAAGATCCTGGAGTACCTGGATAAGTGGTTCGTCATAGATGAAATCCTGCCTTTCCTGCAACAGATTCCGTCCCGGGAGCCCGCTGTTCTCATGGGGATTCTGGGTAAGGGGGTGGAGCTTTGCATGCTAATTTAAAGCATCACTTGTTTTGTTGTTTAGGAGTAGTTCAGGATGAGTATTTCTCCTTGTGCTTGTGTCTGTGCCCTTAAGTATGCATGCTGCATGCCCTCACACCTTACATATGATGTTACACATATGTTTAAAATGTTGTTGGAGCCATATTGAGTGACTGTTTTCTGTGTATTTTATCATGCATATTATTGCCAAATTATCTATAGAATTCACATGTGACTTTACCTTAACCTGTCGAAATACCTACACCTAGTGATGAATATTGCTCACTGCACCTAGGATACTTCACGTAGGATAATGGGTGAAAGGAAGCAGGAAGTAAACCCTGCTACTAGATGGCAAATCAAATAGGTTTCAAAATTACCGCAGTGTGAGGTAATATGATTATCCAGTAAACGTCGTGTGTAACAGAAGAGCACAGTGGCAGTGCGTCACGTGTCGTTATGTAATACCTGGTATTCGTAATGGGCTGTGGGACAATAACGGGGCTCTATCAATAGGCATCTACAAGTGCACCTTCACCCATAAGAAGCTGGGCATCCCCAAGGAGCACCTGGCCGGGAAGAGCCTGCCTCACCTCGTGTCCCTCAGTATCGACAACAACCTGAACCTCACTCAGGTGCGTGCCCTCTGACCCGCCGGGGCCACGCGCTCTGCCGCTCCAGTCGCGCTGAACGTCGGCGTCTGTGTTGCAGTTCAACTCCTTCATGGCCGTGATCCGCGACATGCTGAACCGCATGGAGGCCGAGCACAAGACCAAGCTGGAGCAGCTGCACATCATGCAGGAGCAGCAGAGGTCCTCCTGGTTTCCCCTTCTCGTGCTTGTCATGTGACTCTGTGGTGTGATGTCTGTGTGCCTGGGAAGGCTCTATGTGTTTTATGAAGATTGTAACTACAAACCCCTGTCCTGAAATCCCGCTAATATAGGAGCCTGAACATTTCCAATCAACTGAATCCATCTGAGGAGACCAAGAGCACCCCAAGCCCTGGCAATGAGGTGAGGTCATTACCCATGGCGACCAGCAGAGGGAGCAGATCTGCATTTAGCGTGTTTCTCTATGTGCTTACGGCTCTCTTTTCCCATCATGCCCCAGCTGGAAAATATGTTTGGCGGCAGCTCTGGGAGCAGTGAGGTGAATGGGAAGGAGAACGGATCCTCCACGGCAGCCCCACAGCCCAACCGAGTGAGTCAGACCCCCTTCTCTACCCTCAGGCTGTCAGATTACTAAACGCCTCCACTACAGTTATAATTTAACACTCGATTCTTACACATGCACCACAAACTTTTAGAGCTATGTTGCACATTTTTTTTTCCCTGTGGTTTTTCTTTTACAACAAAACTTTTGGCTCCTTTTACTACATATATTTTTTTCTGTTTTATTTTTTTTTTCGCTATTACTGTTTGACAGCAGGTTAGTCTGTATAAATTGCATGTGACAAATAAAAATCCTTGAATCCTTCGGCCATCTCTCTGTGGCCATGTGCTCCGTGTATCACACGCAGATACAGCCTCAGAAGCATGTCTGTTTAGCTTGAGGCTTCAGAGATTAACCCCAGTGTTTGCACCTCCCAACCCCCAAGATGTCGCTGACTCTGGAGGAGAAGCAGCGCCTAGCGAGGGAGCAGGAGCAGGCAGCCAAGCTGAGGAGCCAGCAGCCCCTGGCACCGCAGACTGTCAGGCCGGCTCCGGCCCCCACGCAGGTACCCGCCCCATGCCCGCGCTCTGCCAGAGCCAGCCAAACCCCACGCGGGTACCCACCCCCATGCCCGCGCTCTGCCAGAGCCAGCCAAACCCCACGTGGGTACCCGCCCCATGCCCGCGCTCTGCCAGAGCCAGCCAAACCCCACGCGGGTACCCACCGCCATGCCCGCGCTCTGCCAGAGCCAGCCAAACCCCACGCGGGTGCCCGCGCTCTGCCAGAGCCAGCCAAACCCCACGCGGGTGCCCTCGCTCTGCCAGAGCCAGCCAAACCCCACGCGGGTACCCGCCCCATGCCCGCGCTCTGCCAGAGCCAGCCAAACCCCACGCGGGTACCCGCCCCATGCCCGCGCTCTGCCAGAGCCAGCCAAACCCCACGCGGGTACCCGCGCTCTGCCAAAGCCAGCCAAATGGCTGAAGTTGCATTAGTCAGTCTGTTGAGGTTTTGGCTTTCTTGGCCGCCCCCTGGAGGATAAACCCCCCCCCCCCCCCCAAGGTCTCTTCCTGTGAGGGAGTTTTTCCTTGCCACTGTCGCCTCTGGCTTGCTCAGTGGCATTGGGCAGGGACAAAGTGCTTTGAGACCTTGTAATGTTGTGAAAATGTGCTATGCAAATAAAATTTGACTGAAATCAATGTTTAGCCGCTTTCAGTCAGTCAGAGCCTGAGAGGTTCTGGCCTGACTCAGTAGTAGGTGTTTCCACAGCTGAATGTGTCCGGCTCGGAAGGAATCATTTGGTCCATTTTGTCTCCTCCAGACCAAAGATCTGACCAGCAGCCTGCTAAACAACGTGGCGTCCCTGGGGAGCCTCTCCCTGGGCTCCGGTCCCAAGCCAGTGCCGGCACAGGGGGCCATGGTGCCGGCCGGGTTCCCCTCGGCATCGCCCATGGGCAGCGTGGGCTCTATGCCCGGCATGAGCAACGGCTACAGCCCAGGGATGGGCTTCCCGATGGGGGCCACACGGCCGGCTGGCCCGGGCCTCTACGGGGGCATGGCCACCACCACCAGCACACCCAGCTTCACCTCCCTTGCCCAGAGCCAGCCTAACAAGGCCCCGGACTTGTCCGCTCTTGACTCTCTCTTTGGCCCCCAGAAGCCCAAAGTCAGCCTGAACCAGATGGTGCCCATGCCGGCCCCTATGGCGGCGCCCGGGGCCCCTAGCCCCTGGGTCAACCAGTTTGGGGCCCAGCAGACCCAGCCGGTCGCACCCCTGGCTATGGGCGGAGCTCCGGCAGCCTTTGGCATGCAGGCAAACCCATTCTTCAGTCCTCAGAACTTCTCGCAGACCACAGCCAACCCTGGCAAACTCCAACAGAGCGCCTCTGTGAACAATGACCTGAAGGACCTCTTCGGATAGACGGCCAGCGGTTTTCGAAGGTTTAAATGCAAGGACTGTTGCAGGTGGATGGGAGAGACCAAGCAGATCCATGGGTGAATCGGTGTATGATCTCATTGGCTTCATTTTAAAGTTTCCGATTTGATTCCAGTTTTACGTTTAGACTTAACGTTTTTCGCCAGTTTTCCACTTCAGAGCAGACGTGTGTGTTGCGTATGCGTGTCTGTCTGCCTGCCTGTCCGTCTTCGGTAGCTGCTCGGGAGATTTCCACAGGAACCTCTCTGTAAGGTGATGTGTGCAGTCAGACAATCATTTAAGCGCAAGAAAGCAGGCGATGGAATTCGGATGCGCTTGGATGCTGGTCATTCCATCACCATGGAAACCAGAGGTCCTCATGGCAAAGACCCCCGTCCCCCCAGCCTGCCCCTCTCTCACTGCACCGTCCTCAGGTGCCGCTGTAGCACGGTGCCAGGGGACCTTTTCATATTAGCTGTGATCTACATGCTACCAGGCTGCCTTACCTCAGTGAGGATGTAAATGTAACCAGTTTAGGGGGAATTCGGGTGTTGACACACTGCACTATGTATACAGGGACAGACAAACACTTTGCTGTAGGTCTGTGCGTTTCTCTGCATGAAAGGGAGTGACAGCACTTTGATGTCCAGAGAGTGCGTGTGTGTGTGTGTGTGTGTGTGTGTGTGTGTGTGTGTGTGTGCGTGTGTGTGTGTGTGTGTGTGTGGATTAAATGTAACATGGTCTGATCTGCTTTCATGAAGGAAATGATATGAATTAATGTATATTGAGATACAGAATGACGGTTTTGTCATGGAGAATGTGTTTTCATACACTGGTTATATCCAAATGTAAGATTTTTTTACAAATCCTCTTTCCACATGCTTTACTACGTGGACGGTAGATCCTTTGCTCTTTGAGCCTTAACTTGTAGATTTTGGTTTAATATTATTATTATTTGTTTTTTAAAACATCAGGCTCTGTCAATTTAGTGTGCATTAGTCTGTCACATAGATGTCTGTACGTCTTCTGACCATTGCTGATCTTAACTAGATGGAAATTTTGGTTTACTTAATTCACATAAGGGGTGAGGGTTAGTAACAGTCAGTCGGCATAGCCCACCCAAGGGACTTCAAAGTAACAGAAATGATTTACTGTATACAGGAAACAGACAACCTAATGTACGGCAAACATATCAGAGAAGCGGCATATGTCTGAGCAGCACCAAGCAGAGGATTTCCCTTATCTGACACCTATGTTTTGCTGCACTGATTGTTTTTGAGTGAAAGGCCTTAAGAGAAGATTGCAATATTACACTGAGGGTTGGTGCACCTGGTGTGCTTGTGCTTTTTCTTGTTTTTGTTTTTTTTTTTATTTAAAGAATCTTTTGCTTGCTTAAATTGCAGTGGTAACTGTCAGTTCATGAGTAGACTTCCAAATGACATTTGTTTTTAGTAAGATGTTTCTAAAGGGGTGCTGGCCCCTTGGTGATTCCTGCCACTAGGGGGCACTCTGCCTCTTGGAGCCTCACTTCACATGAAGTGATGTTCAGGCAGGCCTGCCTGAGCAAACCCCATGCTGTGCTGTCCACTGTAATGGTGGTTTTAAATGTGATTTAAACAGGGGTGGTGGGAGGCAACTGTACACTGTAGAGCACCATGTGGCCACATTTTGTTTCCCGTCACATGACCACATGAGTGATTTCCATTTGAGGACAGACTAGAAGGCCCCCGCACGTCCCGGTCAGTCGCACCTGCTCCATTCCCATGGAGCGCCTTCCCTAATGAACATTTTGGTGGCATCTTTTTAGTCTTTGCTTGCAATCAGAGATGAAAATCCTATTCTTCTACCAGAGTTCTGATCCTTTATACATGAGAGATTTCATCTGTACGGTGTGGCGTCTTTGTGAAATTTGTATTGTGAATGAGGTGGTGGTGTGTGAAACAGATTGCTCAATGGAAAAAATCTGTATATATATATAAATACATATTCTAATATTCTTGACTCTTGTTTTGATTTAATTTGTCTTTATGTGTGACCTTTTGCAAATCCTTGACCAGCATAGACAGTTACTGCTGGCTGTGCGTGATTTTCCACGGGAGGAATGAGGCAAAGCAACAAACGGTCTAGGGATTAATATGTGTTGTTGATCACTGGGTTAGCCTGATGGGAACCAGTATGGTAACAATCATTTATACTCACTAATTATGGGTTTCAAAGTCTCCCACCAAGTATTGCTGTCTGAGTCTTGATACATGCTTTAAATGCAGGTTCTGGAACATTGCATTCCAGGCTTCTGAGAATCTGCCCTTCCCATGCCGGCATTAGTTATTGCTACTAACATGGGAAACTAAACCTACACTAAATTTTGCATTTACTTTGTTCCTTGTTCAAGTTTTGTTTTTACTGAACACTCAGTTATTTAAACATTTTTAAAATGTCACATTCTTTAAATTTTCAAATGAACTGCAGCATAAATGAAGATATGACTTAAATGGGCCATTGGAAATGTAATGAATCAATTGAAATCAGCTGATGACACTGGGTGCAGATTGTAAATATGACACGGGGGGGGGAAAAAACTCCAGTACTTTTGTGCGTAGAACCGAAGGCAGTTCAGTCTGTCTTTCACTGTAGATGGTGAAACTGTTCTGGTAATTTAAAAGTAAATGTTTCCATTATTAACAGGCAGTGCAGGTTCTCTGTGGTCACCTGGTGCATCATGGGAGAACCCAGTGCAGACTTACTTTATAATGCACACTATAACTCGATAAACCCTTTCCACCAGAGGTTATTTTTTGTACTGCGATGTCTGTGCAGCACCTGCACCATTTGTGGGAAGTCAAACAGGCTTGGGGTACCTGCCTACCCTCAGTCTGACTCCAGTCTAACTTAGACTGGTACTAAAATATCAGTGTGTGAGCTCATGTGTCCGTAAGATAGCATTCACCTGCGACCTGCAACTCTGAAGGCACCTTCCCAAGCCTAATAAATCTGCATACTAATAAAAACTAACACATATCTAATAACGTATTAAATTACCTGAACCCATAATGTTGCTGAACTGGAAAAGTGAGAGTGTGCTAATGTGTGACGACTCACCTTCACTTCTCAAGTAGGATGGCTACTGCCGGGCACTTTTTATTCGCAATGACAGGAAATGGCCACTAGGGTGTAGTATAAGACTGGACGGAAACGAGCAAAGCAGCACATTAGCTTAGGAAAACAATAGTTTGGCCTTTAAAAATAACTGTGCGGGGCAGTTAGTTAGTTTTGTTGTTTATCTCATGTAAATTATATTGTTGAGTGAAACAATAATGGAAGGTGGTGCTTGCGTTCCATGTAAACTCATTGCCTCGGCTCAGTCATTTTGGTAGTTGGTGTATCTTATTTAGTCATTTGGCAGGCTGGCTCTGTGCCTCACTAGGTACTAGTGTTACCTTGTATCTCGTCTGTTCCTTTGCTGTGTGTATGTGGGGTTTGCCTGTTTTTTGTGTTCTCTGTGATGGACTGGCATCCTGCCCAGGGTGTCCTCTCCCCAGTGCATTCTGGGATAAGGGATAGGCAGAGGTGTAGGGGCAGGACAGGCCAGCCCCCCGACCCCCCAACTGAGCCGATTCATAGTACATTGCAACGACAAATCTGCTTTAATTGCATATGCTGTTTTTCACCGTAAAGTGAAAATGAAGGAATGATATTTATCAAATTCTTTTTGTTGATAGTATTAATTTAGACTTAATTTAATTTACAGACGCTAAATTAGTGGTCATAAATGTTGCCCTGCTGGGTGGGGTGTGTGGAGGGCCCATGGAGTTTTTTTGCCCGGGGCCCCCAGTGTCCCTAGAATGGTCTCTGGGGCCGGCTTCAGGCTTCCTGTGACTCTGCACTGGAGGAGAAGGCGTGCAGAATGTTGGCAGTAAAGAAGTACATTTACTCAAGTATTATACTTGAGTATCAATTGTTTAGGAAATGTAGGACAAATATTGTATTTTTGCTATATTTCTATGAAGGTTCTCATTACTCATTACTTTGAAGTACATCGTTTAATTCAGAGGACGAATCTTCTTTTCTAAAATGCAGTAGGCCGCTATGGTATTTGTCACAAGAGGAAAACCGATCATAGTAAACTGCTCCTACTCTGTCAGTCATGTTACTGAGGGCAGTTATAAAGCTAGAGGTGTGTACCTGGGTTGGTTGTTTTATATATTTTTTTATTATAAGTTGCATCTACTGCAATTCCACTATTTGACCAGTGAATGCACACGCACGCATGCACACAAACACACATACACACACGCACGCTCGCACATGCGCATACACACACACACACATACACACACTGCCAGAGCTGTGTTAGAACGCTACCATGCTATTTTGTGGGGGTGTGGTGGGGGAGGGATGTTAAGTTAAGAAATGACAATGGCTGCCCCTTTGTCGATTCAATTGCGTTTCGATAAGCATTGTATCATATTCCACAAGTCAGTGCATTCAGTAGTTTGTTTCAGAGTCCCTGGGTTCTGTAAATACATAGTGGCAAGCAAGCAGCAATGCATTTACATTTAAATAGAAAATGTACTTTTGAATACTGAAGTATTTTTTAAATCAAGTACTCCAGTTCTTTAGCTTTAGTAAAAATTTTACTGAACAACTTTCACTTGTACTGGAGTATTATTTGACCAGGGATTTCTATACTTTGCGAGGGCTGTGGGAGCTTTCATAGGATTTCACCCCCAGTAAGAGCAGGTGACTCCACCAGAACCCTCAAAAGAGATGAGGCTAGGCCAAGTGTGAGTGTGTGTGTGTGCGAGCGGGTTTACCTATGCTTATGGGGACAAAATGTCCCCATAATGTGATAAATATCCGTTTTTTTTCCCTTATGGGGACCGGTTTCCTGGTCCCCATAAGGGAAAACTCTATTTTATAAAAATCGGTGACTGCTATGAAAAAACTAAAAATGCAAAAAGTCTTGCATTTTGTTTGGTTACTTATGGTTATGGTTAGGGCAGGGTGGGGGTTAAGGTTGTCATAGTTACTTATGGTTATGGTTAGGGCAGGGTGGGGGTTAAGGTTGTCACAGTTAGCGTTAGCATTTTTCCCATTGAAATGAATGAGAGGTCCCCATAAGGATATGTGTGTGTGTGTGTGTGTGTGTGTGTGATGTATCCAGCCACATTCATCTTCAGCCTCTACTGTGCTATTGCTGGAGATGCTCCCCCCCCCGCCCCCCACTTGCCTTCGCTCTCTGAAGGTCTAAGAGCCCAGGGGATGTTTGTTTTAGGAGAAGATCCAATAACGCCTTCACTTCTGGAAATTGTCCTGTAATTGACACAGACTCACTCCCACCCCTCGTCCCCTCGTCCCCTGTCCCCTCGTCCCCTGTCCCCTGTCCCCTGTCCCCTGTCCCCTCGTCCCCTGTCCCCTGTCCCCTGTCCCCTGGCTCTGCTCTGTTTGTCCCCCCTGGCTGAGGCATCTCTCCTGCCTCCCTCAGCACTCACTTTTAGCCTATATCAGTGATCTCTTATCTGTGGGAGGGGGTGCAGGATCACGATGGGGTCAGGTTTATAGGTTGTGAGTATGGTCAGGTGAATAGGTTGTGATTTTTTTGTATTAGGATGAGGGAGAAGCCAGTAGGTGGCGCTGTGGTTTAGTGGCTGAATCCAGGCTGGCATTTGGAGCTTGCAGGAATCCGTCATGCACCCCAGTGACCGTCCAAAGACGTGTGGTTAGGTGAAATGGTGTCTCTGAGTTTATTACTTATTATGGAGTCGTAACCCATGAGAAGCCTGTCCCAGAGGGAGGTGGTTTGGGAGGGGGGTTGGGGGGGTTACTGTGATGAGGACGATAGTGGAACCAGGGCTTTGAACAGGGGTCCAGTCCTCCCCCTCTGTCCAAAACAGTCCAAACCCAGCCCTGCCCCCCTCTTCTTTCTGTTCCTTTTCATGAAATGTACATTTCAGTATTTTTGTCCCCCCCCCCCCAAATCCATGCTGTCAGGGGTCACAGTATGGGACATGGTGACAGGTGACACGTCGACACCAGCATGGGGCCGCAGGATGCCCCACATCCCAGGAAGAGGACGCCCATTCATGGGCCACACAGGGCCGCTTTCGTCCCCAAGCTGGCCGCCGTCCCATTAGGGCTCATTAAGCCATTCTTGGTCCCGTACACATTCCAGAGCCACACGGCGATTCTGTAATTAAGTACCATCACGATGGTGACAGGACACAATTGCCCGTTATCACCAAATGTCACTGAACATGCCCATTACAGACTGTCGCCCCTTAATCTCAGACCCCCCCCCCCATAAAGTACAGCGAGCATTACACAGAGCATTTGTTCCAAGCCCAGATGTGCAGAGTGCAGTGGCAGGTCACACGTCTGATATCATTCAGCCTGGGGTCCATGGGAGGTGCAGGGCAGCGTCCGTCCTCCTGGATCACAGTTACAGTTTCTTTATGTAGCAGACGCCTGTATCCAAAGCAACATAGAATTGAAAGTGGGGTCAGACAGGCCATGGAGATACTGGGACCTAAGGGCCTTGCTCTAGGTCCCACAGGTGACATAACTTTGCCAACTCTGGGATTTGAACCGGCAACCTTCTGTCATAAGCACATCATGCTGACCCTTCTCTGATACAGCACCTGTCTGTCATGGTGCTGCTGTAAGATTAATTTGTGACTATTTGTTGTTTCTTCTTTCTTCTTTTCTTTCCTTTTCTGTATCCTTATATGCTCAGAGCATCATGGTCTAGTGAGGGTGTGATGGACACTGTTGTCCACGTTATAGAGAAGAGGTGATGAGGTGTATCTGTACTGCAGAGAGGAGGTGTTGAGGTGTATCTGTACTGCAGAGAGGAGGTGNTGAGGTGTATCTGTACTGCAGAGAGGAGGTGTTGAGGTGTATCTGTACTGCAGAGAGGAGGTGATGAGGTATGTCTGTACTTAAGTGAGGAGGTAATGATTTGCGTCTATTACAAGGAGGAGGTGATGAGGTGTTA